GCATTAATTTCATGCTCTGCATTAAGAACTCTTTTTTTTCTTTTTTAATGATGAATATGATATGTTATTTAATAAGTTTTCAATTATAAAAATAATTCTGATTTCAGAGAGATTAAATTTTTACGTAAGTATCCTAAAATTTGTAAAATCTTTAAATACAATGACTTCAGATTTTTTAAAAAGATGTGTTCAAAAATTAAATTTCTATTGTACAGTTTCTGAGACCATCATATATCCATTCTTTTTTTTTGTTTTTTTAACTTTTATTAATTACACTTTATTCACTTTGTATCCCCCCCCCATAAACCCTTCCTTCCTCCCCTCCTAATCCCAACTTCCCTCGCCCTTCTTCACGCATGCCCCTTCCATCGGAAAAGGCCAAACTGGCTATTACAAATAAAGCTGCTACAAACAAGGTTGAGCAAATGTCCTTGTTGTATACTTGAGCGTCTTTTGGGTATATGCTTAGGAGTGGTATAGCTGGATCTTGAGGTAGCACTATTCCTAATTGTCTGAGAAATTGCCAGATTGATTTTCAAAGTGGTTATACAAGTTTACATTCCCACCAGCAATGGAGGAGGGTTCCCCTTTCTCCACATCCTCGTCAGCATGTGTTGTCACTTGAGTTTTTGCTCTTAGCCATTCTAATGAGTTTAAGGTGAAATCTTAGGGTTGTTTTGATTTGCATTTCCCTGATAGCTAAGGATGTTGAGCATTTCTTTAAGTGTTTCTCTGCCATTTAATATTCCTCTATTGAGAATTCTCTGTTTAGCTCTGTAATCCATTTTTTAATTGGATTGCTTGATTTGTTGCTGTTTAACTTCTTGAATTCTTTATATATTCTTACTATTAGCCCTCTGTCAAATATAGGGTTGGTGAAGATCCTTTCCCAGTCTGTAGGCTATCATTTTTTGTTCTGACAACAATGTCGTTTGCTTTACAGAAGCTTTTCAGTTTCCCAGGTCCAAATGTATTGATTGTTGATCTTAGAGCCTGTTTGTATTCTGTTCAGGAAGTTGTCTCTTGGGCCAATGAGCTCAAGGCATTTCCCCACTTTTTCTTCTAACAGATTTAGTGTGTCTGGTTTTATGTAGAGGTTTTTGATCTATTAGTAATGGGAACAGGGACTGTCTCTGACATGAACTCAGTGGCCTTCTCTTTGATCACCTCCCCCTGAGGGATGTGCAGCCTTACCAGGCCACAGAGGAAGACAATGCAGCCAGTCCTGATGAGACCTGATAGACAAGGATCAGATGGAAGGGGAAGAGAACATCCCCTATCAGTGGACTGGGGAAAAGGCATAGGTGGAGAAAAGGGAGTGAGGGTAGGAGTAGGAGGGGACGAGAGAAGGGGCTACAGTTGAGATACAAAGTTAATAAACTGTAATTAATTAAAAAAGTAGAAAGGTTATAAAAAGACCTAACAGTATTCTTGTTGCTTGGATATAAAGCACTGAGGCTAAAGTTTTACTGTCTCCCAAACTAAGTGATTTTAAGAGTAGAAGGAAAGGCAGTCTTTTATGCTTGGTCTTTCAAGTACAGCTGCATGAGAGAACTCCACATTTTCACCAATTCCTTTTGTGTTGTACCTCATTTCTTCTGAGCCAGCTCCCCAAATTTTTTCACCCTGAAGGAAGAACCATATGAAGGAATTGACCAAGGTCCTGTCCAAGGTCATAGGCAAAAAACCAAACAAACAAAAATCCCCATTTTCCCACTCCTGATGTTGAATAGAGTGCATGGCTTGAGGCCAGTTCCTGTTTCATTTATGTAAGTTCAAAATTAAAATTTAAAATTCCTATCTGTGTTTCTATATGATGGTCCTCTGTAGAAAAGTCTTTCTGCAGATCTTCACTTTTTTATGTTCTGAGCAAATCCTGAACCCTTATAAATATACTTTTTGTGGTTTTTCTTTCATATATGCTCAGGCAGCCTATGAAATTTAGGTGTAGGACTAAGTGTGAGTTTAAACTTACACACTCTGGAGCACACTCTTACAGTGCACTTTCCAGTGCACAATGTGTGAACTGGCTTTTCTCTTGGAAATACTTAATTAACTAACAGTGCTGAGAATCAATGTCCAATGTGAATACAATAAAGCTTGGGATAGCCAATCCCATTACTCAGTAAGATTGCTTTTTTTTTTTTTTCTTTATATAGTTTTGTTATTGCTGCTGCTGAGTCTCTTTAGACTTAAAAAAATGTTATAGCTTTATTAGGCCATATTTAACATACTGTCCAATATTTTAATTTAGAAGTGGACAATTGTCGGGGGTGGTAGCACACTCCTATCCCAGCATTTCAGAGGCAGTGGCAGATGGATCTTTGTGATTTCAAGGCCAGCCTGGTTAAAATACTGAGTTCCAGGACAGCCAGAGATTTATGGAGAAACACTGTGTCAAAAAAAAATAAAAATAAAACAGTAACAAAGTACACAATTCAGTAAATAGGTTATTGCTTGTTTTAAAACTGTATGAACATAATAACCATTATTTTATTACCCCAAAAGGAGGCCCCTATACTCATTAACCAGTAATCTATTTTCTATTTTTGTGGATTTTACTATAAGCAGTTTCCATAATGGATTCATGATATCTGGCTTGTTTTCTTACTACAATGTGTTCAAAATTCATCCATGTTACAGCACGAGTCAACACTTCATTCCTTTAAAAGGCAATATAATATTTCATTATGTAGATATACTACATTTTGTTCATCCTTTTATCTGTTGGTAGGCTTATTTGACATTTTTCATTTGTAAATAGTGTTTTTGTAAACATTGCCAGAATTTGAAGTTTTTAAAAATTAATTAATTAATTTATTCACTTTACATCCTGATTATAACCCCAATTCCTCCTGTCCTCCTGGTCCCACTCTTCCTCCCTCTTCTCCCTATCCTCTCTCCCTTAATCCTCAGAAGAGGGGAGCCCCCACCAACCCACCTCAGTACATCAAGTCGCACCAGGACTGAGTGAATCCTCTCCCCCTCCCATTATTTCAGATATAACCGAGGCATTGAAATGCTAGTTAATATAAGTCTCACATGTTGAGGAACTATCATAACTTTGTCATAACCACTGCACCATACTTTGTTTTCATTTGCCCAACAACTTAAAAACTTTAGAACATGGTTGTACATGTAACACGATGTGAAGGGACACTCAGAGCAGTGAGAGGAGTCCTAGAGCTTCTGTTGAAAGCCTACACAATGCCTTGAGGCCCATTACTGAGTAATTAACCGTAATTTCACATTTACCATTAGCCATTAACTGTTCCAGAAGGGGACTAGAAACTCCACTGTGGCTAGCTAGATAAGCTTACTTGCATTCCTAGGCATTTAATTTCCCAGTGATAACTGGAAAGTTCAGTGATGTTGACTTTCCTCTGGACTGTGGAAAAGACAAACAAAAAGTGGTTAAATATGTTCAAAAACTAAGTGAAAGATTTTCAAGACTTTTAAGTCCTCTTTAGATGATGTTAACAAGATAGTTGCCTCGCTGGCTACTCAGAGCTGACTTTTGCTTTACTGTTACTTCAGGTTATGTGCATGGCTTATCATTGGCAAATTACCTTTGCATGTATCTTTTCAGCTGAATTGCTTGCCACTGATGCTGGCTGACAGTGGGATAACTGCAAATCTTCAAGCTGCATAATATCATACCTAACATATTGCTTAGCAGTACTTTCTATCTTATCTACTTGTGTGTGTTGAAATCTTCCTTTCATAAAGACTAAGAAATAGCCCAAGAAGTACATCCAGGAACAACAGTCCCATCTGCTCAAGGAATTTTCTAAAATCGAAAGCACATTTTATATTTCCATTCCCCATTTTACTTCATACGAATTAAGTTTTCACCTAGTTGTGTTATGACTGCTTCATATATATGTTTCCCATGCATACATGTTACCTTTCAGAGCAGTATATGTTGCTCTGAAATTCCTGTGTTCTGAACTTTGAAAACAAATATTAGAGGCTGCACTCAGACAATGATAACTTTCATTTAAAGACAGATTCCCATAGCCTCTACAAACCAGACTCTTGCAAGTAAACTAGCTGCCATGACATTTTCTGCACAGTGGACAGCAAAATTAATTTTTACTCTGAACATACCAAAAACAAACTATAATTTTGAAGAGATTTGGATGTTGCCCAGTTATGCACTACAAATTATCTAAACAATTGCTGCTTTTACTCTAAGACGCCTAACACTGGGAAGTGGCCTTTCACTGAACATAGCTTACAGTGCTGTGCCGCAATCTCAGTGTGTAGCTGCCTCCTGTTTTACATGAGACAGTTACTCTTCTCCTCAAGTCTAGAGTTGGAAAGGAAGCATTGTAGTGTTTTAGCTAATTTCATTTATTTTTTTCTTGCAGGTTCTGAAAAGTGCCTTTTCTGAAAACTCTGCTGCTTGGATTCTACTCTAGAGCTCTCTTTCCAAGCCCTCTCCCCACACACCCTTCCCCACTCCTGCCCCTATAAAACCTGCTGTGCTTGTAGTTCACTGTCAGCAACTTGCCCGTTTAATTTTTCTCTCATTCTCAGTTTTCTTAGTCATTTTCCCTCCCCTTGATTTTACAAAACTATTTTTTAGATTGTAGCATCCTCCCAACTCTATTCTTCAGAGCAAAGAATTGGGGAGATAGACTTTTCTCTCCCTGATTTGAGACCATTCCACAAATTGAAGGGCAGCCAGCAACATATGCTTTTTGTAAGAATAATTGAAAACATCAACTAGGCAGCATAGAATTCTTTTGAAAGTCTGCCAGTTATTTGAAGCAAATTCAGCAAAGCAACAAAATATAGCAGTCAATATCTTAACCGTTATAGTTGCCTTCTTAGGACTTGGTCTCTAATTTGATTTTTGGTTGTTCTGATACAACGTTGACTGAATAAGTGACTTTTTTGTGTTTGACCAGATCAGACGTGGCTTCAGTGAGAACCTAAGTGCTAACAAACACACTCCACCAAAGCAACCTGCTCTCACTTCACATTTGGTTCAGATTCACTTAGACTCCTTGAACCATCCACAGTCATATTATTGTCCGAAAGAAGGTGCACTTAATTACCATTTTGCTTTCAGTATGACAGCTGTCAATGTTGCTCTAATTCGTGATACCAAGTGGCTGACTTTAGAAGTCTGTAGAGAATTTCAGAGAGGAACTTGCTCTCGAGCTGATGCAGAGTGCAGGTTTGCCCATCCGCCAAGAGTGTGCCATGTGGAAAATGGCCGTGTGGTGGCCTGTTTTGATTCACTGAAGGTGAGTGTCATGTGCGTGCACATAATTCCTTTAATGTGTTGATTTCTAGACATTTGAAAAGAAGGTGTGTTAGAAAAGAGTAAAATTAATAACATCATAAAATGATGTGTTACTTGGGTTACAACAAGATGTAAACTTTCTGTGTACTTAACTAAGCCAGTTGAAGGCTCATTCTAGTAAAGTGTACTGATCAAGATAGATTCACTTTATAAAATGAAAACTCATAAAATTTTGTAGGACTGAGGTAAATGTGCTGAAGTTTAAGCATGTTCTCTATATGTATGTTTGTCTGGTCTGTATCATACTATGTAGACTAGGCTAGCCTTGAATTTTTAGTAACCCTTCTGCCTCTATTTTCTGAGTTGCTGAGATTACAGGCATTTAGCACCACACTTGGCTAATTTACTATCTCATTGGGTTTTAGTTTCTATACAGAATTTAGACTTTAAATTTTTTATTAGAAAATTTTGTTTTATTTAATCGGTGAATGTTGCATCTGCCTGTGTGTATGTGCAACATGTGTATGCTTGGTACCATTGGAGGACAGAAGAGGGCATCAAATTCCCCACACCTAGAGTTGCTGATGCTTGTGAACCATCACGTAGGTTCTTGAGATCCAACCTGAGTCCTCTTCAAGAGCAACTGGTGCTCTTAATCACTGAGCCATCTCTCCAGCTCAGAGAATTAGGATTTTTGATGTAGTGATCAAAATTCTCATGCAACAAAGAAACCCTTTGATGGATTATGTTATAAATATAGCTTATTATGCATGGTAGTAAACTATGGTCTCAGTAAATGCCTGGGACCAGTCAACTCATAGAGGATAAAGTCAGACAGAGCATCTAAGTTAAAACCTCACTGTTCAGGAAGACAAGGCATATTGTTATAAAAGTAACCTCCCTGCATTTTCCTCTTAAACACACAAGTGAACAACTTCTAATTTGTAAGTACCAGGAGAGTCTTAATGCCAAGGTTGTCAAGCTTAAATATAGTAAAATATGAGGACTGGTGAGATGCTATATACAGTAGGACATAAATCATTATGTATCTTGAGAATGTATTCATTTTTATGTTTTATTCATAAATATCTTTAAGTAAGGATAAGAATATCCAAATTAAAGCAGAGAAGCAAAAAGTGTAGATGGATTCTTGGTTTAATTAATACATTTGTCATCATGCATTTGAAATGATTCATGAGATTCAGTCAAATGAAATAGTTTTAGCAGGAGTTTTAAAAAATTTCATGATATTATTATGTGACTGTCATCATGATCAGCTTTACCTCACTAACATTTTTAGGTGCATTCTTTTGTGTGTTAGTTTACTCTGAATACATTTTCAAATGCTTTCCTATGAATGATTCTTAGAATTCGGACCAGAAGTGATTTAGAGTTCAGAGTTCTTCAGGGTTAGGATAGTTTCATGTACATAATGACATATCCTTGGGATGAGCACCAACCTTAAACAGGAAATTCATATATGTGTGTGTATAATTTTATTTATATATAATACATAAATATATACGGAAAGAGTAAAGTTTATATGTACATGGTCCATAGGTAATTTTAATGCAATATTTTAGTTCATCTGTTCTTTGAATGCAATATGAGGTCATGTATGGAATTTTCCAATTATGACATTATATTGGAGCTTTTTGGTTTTTCAAGTTAGGGATGTTCAACATAAAATGTAGTTTTACTTATTTCTTGGTTGCTTGGTTTCATTGTGGGCCATTCCAGTTCAATAATGGAGACTCATTATGGTAAGACAAAAGGTATTTACAAAAGGTAAAACTCTGAACTAGTTTTATTTGAAGCAGATCTAATAATTAAAAGGGTTGTTTTTGCCCAAGCCTGGTGGCATACACTTTTTATCCCAAAATTCAGGAGGCAGAGTCAGGTGAATCTCTGTTGAGTTCGAAGTCAGCATGGTATACCGAGCAAATTCCAGAGCAGCTAGCACAACATAGTAAGACCCTGTCTAAGAAAAAGAGCTCATTTGTTTCTTAATTTTTTGCACATTTCATGCTGGATTGGTGGTCATTTTCTGTGTATTAGTTTCAGTCTACTGCTACCCGCCTGGGCTGTGCCCTAAGGCAAAAACAAGCACTGAGCTAGTTAAGTAGAAGTGCCTTTCACCCAGAGCACATGCAAGTCTAGGTATTGCACTTGGCCCTTTTTCATCTTGCTTCTGGAGATTTAGAATAAAGTCCCAGCCCTACTAATCTGATCATTCAGCATCTTTTTCTTTCAAACCTTGAGTGATTTTGTCTTTAGTAAGGACATAATGCCTTCACTATCTAACTTTTACAGTGTCTATGGAGATACCAAAGAGACAATACAAACAACAAACAAAAAGTATAACTACAAAGTGAATCAAGCATAAGGATATCTTCTTACTATTAATGAATGTTTGTTAGAGGACCTATTAAAAAGGTTCCATTTAGGTAGACCTTATTACTAAGTGCTGCAAGCACTTGTGCTCAAATCTATTGCTATGAGAGTGATTTTAGTCCTATACTTTACATATATCACTGTTCTGTTCTATGTGAACCTATGATAGGGCATTCATAGTGGACTATAGATTCTGTCCTTTTAGACATCAGAGAATGAGTGAGATGTGTGATCTCGGTAATCTTTGATAATTCTTCAGGTCAATGTTCCTCTTAAAAGCAAAAGAGTACTTACTATAAAGTAAATACATTGAGGAAAATAATATGAATAAATCACTTAATTATTTTCATATGCTATAAACTTTTCCAGATCCATTGCTCTTAAAAAATTTAGTCATTATGTTAAAAATCTTGATGACCAGTCGCAGTAGATAAAGATGATTTGTATAATTCCTACAGTTTTGACTTATTTTCATGAAAACCTCAATATTTCAAATATACAAAGCCTTTTACATAATTATTTAATTTGCTGTTTAGATAGAACATTCACCAGAGTTTCATATCTGCACAAAAGAACTTTGTAGTTCTTCTTTTATGTTGCATAGCCGAGATATGCATGAAAGCTATGCTAAGATGATGGTAATTGACCTATGTTGGTTGTACTCCTATCACAGCACACAAAAAGCACACCTGAATGATTGCTGACACATTTGTTGCTTCTCTTCAATTTGTATAATTGGAGTTTCACTGAATTTATCTGTGTACTATTTTGTTCGTCGATGGCTAAATAAATTAAGCAATCATTTGATCATCTGTAGTCTGTGGGTTCTTTTAGTCACACATGTGTGTATGTGTGCATGTGTGCGCAAGTGTGTGTGTTCCACTCGCACTAGCTACTCTAACAGGTGATGGTTGTTTGCCTACATAAAGGTTACAATAGAAACTGTCCTATTCTCACCAATAATGACGGGAGGTCATGAAAAGAGGAAGGATGAGCTGAATGGATGATCATGCATTGTGCTGAAGGCCTGTGCCCATAACTACCTGAATGCTGCATCTTTTTTAAAATTATTCATTGTATTTCCATTTCTTTTTTAATTTATTTATTTTTATTAATTACAGTTTATTCACTTTGTATCCCCCCATAAGGCCCTCCACCCCCCTCCCGGTGCTATCCTCCCTCCCCCTTTCTTCACGAATGCCCCTCCCCAAGTCCACTGACAGGGGAGGTCCTCCTCTCCTTCCTTCTGATCTTAGTCTATCAGATCACATCAGGAGTGGCTGCATTGTCATCTTCTGTGGCCTGGTAAGGCTGCTCCCCCCTCAGGGGGATGTGATCAAAGAGAAGGCCAATCAGATTATGTCAGAGGTAGTCCCTCTTCCCATTACTATGTAACCCACGTAGACACTAAGCTGCCATGGACTGCATCTGTGCAGGGGTTCTAGGTTATCTCCATACCTGGTACTTGGTTGGAGTATGAGTCTCTGGGAAGACCCCTGTGTTCAAATTTTCTGGTTCTGTTGCTCTCCTTGTGGGGTTCCTGTCCTCTCCAGATCTTACTATTTCCCACTTCTTACATAAGATTCCCTGCATGTTGCCCAACAGTTGGCCATAAGTCTCAGCGTCTGCTTTGATAGTCTGCAGGGTAGAGGCCCTCTGTGGCAGGTTCCTAGGTTGTTTCCTGTTTTCTTCTTCTTCTGATGTCCATCCTCTTTGCTTTTCGGGATGGGGATTGAGCATTTTAGTCAGGGTCCTCTCTCTTGATTAGTTTCTTTAGATGTACAGGTTTTAGTAGGTTTATCCTGTGTTATATGTCTATATGAGTCAGTATATACTGTGTGTGTCTTTCTGCTTCTGGGACAGCTCACTCAGGATGATCCTTTCCAGGTCCCACCATTTACCTGCAAATTTCATGATTTCCTTATTTTTCATTGCAGAGTAATACTCCATTGTGTAGATGTTGCACCATTTTCAGACAGGAATTTAGCCCGTGAAGGCTGTATCATGTTACTATGCAGCTGTTTTTTACTCAGTTCCCTTATCTTCTTGGCAAATTTATTTCAAAACTTCGCTTTGACATTGTCTAACCCATTCTTTACTGATTCCATGATATTACACATTGTCATTGATTTAGATTGGCATTTTCAATGAGTTCCCCCTTAGAGTTAACAAATGATTGTCTGTTTGTGATTGCTTTCATAGCCAGCTTACCCTGCATCAAAAATATCAGGCATATCTTGAACCTTCCATTGTATTCTTGAAACATATGTGATCCTGAATAGCTACCTGAGGTTCAGGAAATATATAAATGCAACTAGTATTTTATTACAACAGATTAACAGCAATTATGTCTACCTGTCACAATCACTACTTTGGGGAGTTTTATAACAACTACTTTGTAGTTAGGCCATAAGAACAGTGATAGTCACAGGAAAATTATGTCAGGCAATATATTTTCCTAAATGATGGGAACTATGAGAGTAATGCACATAAAAAAACCTCTAAACAATGTCTTCAGACTTCATATATTATTATAAGCACAATGAAACTATGACAAATAAAACTCGTCATACAAATATAACTCTATCCTTGTAAGTAATTATTGGC